AAACTAAATAATAGAGAAAACTCACGTCATGAGATCATTCAAAGTTTTATTTCCCAAATTCCCTCGTTCGCCTCTTGTCAGCCTATTTGCTTGTGAGAAACTGCGTTCAGGGTCAGCATTGCTTGCAGGAATTACAAGTATGCATTTTATCGCCTGAAACTGAGAAGGTGAAATGCTGCATAGAACGTTTCGCAAGACCTTACCTTTTGCACAGTAGGAGGTATCTCCAGGTCCTTGGCATTGTTGAGCAGCGTTTGGTAGAACCGAATACTAGTTTTGTCTTTTCTCAGATTACTAGGCCATGTGGTCATTCTTGTGACTGATGTCGCGATTGTGTTGTAGAATTCCATGAAATGCTTTTTTGATCCCTGGTAAGGAGCAAAATTTTTCAATGGCATTGATAGATTGCATTATGAGCTCATGTCGTTTAGTTTTGTCCACATTGCCTCTCGTCGTCAATATACACAGGATATCCACGAGTTGCCGCAGAGGTGTCGGGCAGAATGCAGTTTCTTGAAGGATTCGTAATCGCCATTGCATTCAATGATGTCGAGGATGATATGTCTATCCAATGCGTAGGGGAACGAAGCAGTTGCTTCTGTGGGACGCTTTTCGGGCTCCATATAGTGTCGGAAACTTTTTCGCACATCTTCGTACAGGCGTTGACGCAATCCTTTATTTGTCTTGCTGCTACAATCTGGAGGTATGCTTCAGTAAGGGTGACTGCGTTAAAAAGTTCGGCATCGAAAAAGTCCCCAATTTTGAGTGTAGAACCACCTTCCGAGAGTTTTCCCGTCTCGAGCAGTGGAAAATGCGCTCCAGGCCACCTAGCCCGGTAAGGGCGCGAATTTTTCCATTCAAATATCAGTCAATAGTTTTTTTTGTCAGAATGTTGTTTTTGTTTTGTTTTTGCTTCAGAAGTCGTTTGTTGGTTTGCCATGAAGCTTCTACAATGTACTTTGTAGTTTAATCGTTTTGTTGAGGATTTGGTGATTCGCTGGAGGATTTTCGCACCGCCGTTTCGCGTCGTCGATCTCCGATTGACTTAATCGATAGACACTCATTTCTTTTGAAGAGGATTCGCAGATTTTGCGCGATTCGACGCTCCTCCCATTTTGTGGATCGATACGCATTTGAATCATTTCGCAGATCCGCAGATTCGTTCGTTCCTAGCGTCATTCGGTTGTGGCGCGAGATGTGAACAGTGGGACAAGCTACTTTAATTGTGTGTGTTCAAGCAAGCGCCTGAGTGAGCGCTTTTTTTTTCCACGGATTCGTCGGGCTCCTCTCGTGAGTTTTTTCACTTTCCTATGATTTTTTGTTCGGCGACCTGCGTGGATTCGCAGGAGGTAGGACGTTATTGGGATTTTCACTTACGAGGTGGATGTGAACTGTGTCTGAGGTGCGCTCTCAGAAAATTACAAGTATACCTAACTCTCCCGAAAGTACTTCTGTTAAGTTAAAAGTGGGAAAACACAATCTGAGGAGGCGCACCTTTAACTTTGAAGGCCCATAAAATCTTTCGTATGCGACATTTTGAAAAAGAATGTTTCAGAAACTTCAAATATTTCTCTAACAAAACAGTATAAAAAGTTTAGTGATTGTCCCCTTTTTCAAAAAATTGTCCCGTTCGAACATTTTTCGTGCAAAAGCGAGTTTTTGGGCTTTCAGCGACCATAACTCACTTCATTTTCATTTCTGTGATGCACTTTTTCATGGGGTGAAAGTACAGGATTTGCTCTTTCTAACAAGCCCCAAACCGTTTTTCAAAGTTCATTTTTCGAGAAAATCACACGTTCGAACATTTTGGGGGGTTTTGCCGAACACTTTTTTGAAATCGCGAGTTTTTGGGCTTTAAGCGGGCATAACTCACTTCATTTTCATTTCTGTGATGCACTTTTTCATGGGGTGAAAGTACAGGATTTGCTCTTTCTAACAAGCACCAAACCGTTTTTCAAAGTTCATTTTTCGAGAAAATCACACGTTCGAACATTTTTTCCCATAGGTTTTTGAGCAGCACATGCGAGTTTTTGAGCTTTCAGCAATATAACTTCCTTCGAAGAACTTGTTGGGGAAACTGGGGAAACTTTTAATGAAATTTGTTGGGAGAGGCGAAGACATTTTTGAAGACTACGAGATTTCTGCTTTCTTATGTGTTTTACCGTTGTCTGGAAGAATCGTCCTCAGAAAATTAGGTCCCGAAGAACTTTAATTTCAGCCCCGAGAAGTCAAACCTTTCATAGGGATGCATTCAACTGTTCTTTATTCCTCAAGGAAAACACCGTAATTTGCCTAAAACTGTCTCTCTGTGCATAATTAATCGAATCTAATGCGGTCTGCACAAGCAAGTCTTGCCCTCGGATACGCCACGCACGCGCCTGTGGCTGGCATTTGGAAGTCTATTTCATCTTGCTATGACCCAGATTCTTTCTTAATTCTTTCTTAATTGCTCAGTTTCTTGGCACTGCTATCACGCTCTGATGCGACGAAGCGAGCTCTCCCTAAAAGCTTTGCTGAAGACAGAAAGATTTTTTCACGATGTATAGTAATTCACGCGGAGAAACACTTCAGGACGAAACGGGCGAGCCTGGAAAGAATAATTATTTTGAGTTTATGACAACTTCATAGTCTTTGTGAGCGTTCCTCCCCAGTCCTTCATCCACTGATTCCAAGTTGGAAGTGTCCCGATGGGTACTGCGAGGTGCTGTTATGCCGCTGCGAGTTCTGCTTGACAGGAAGAATTCTAAGACGACTGTTCGTGATTCTTTTTGTTCCATATCCAATGTCTGTTTTCCATTGCAATGTTGATGATTGAACTGTTAATTTTCAAGTTTCGAATGTTAATGGTTTCTTCTGATCGCATTCGGATCTCGAAAATTGCAAGTGTTCCATTTGAACATTTAAAACACTGCATTTGAGACAAATAGAATCATGAGCAGTCGTCATTCAGCCATAATAACAATCACAAGAATATTTAGAAAATATATTTTTTGCAACAAAATCTTCTAGTGTGAATATGAACGGTCCCATCCAGTATGGCGGGGGGGAGGGAGGGCGCGTAGTGCGGCGGTGAAAAGATTAGATACGTTTGCCAGGAGTAGTGGTGGATTAGTATATTAGCTTTATTTACCCGCTTAATAATGTTGACATGTTTTTTAGCAGAGTGTTTCTGATCGACCGT